GGGTTAGGGTTAGGGTTAGGGTTAGGGTTAGGGTTAGGGTTAGGGTTAGGGTTAGGGTTAGGGTTAGGGTTAGGGTTAGGGTTAGGGTTAGGGTCCAGACTCCATGACCTCTGAGGTCCCTCCCAACCTTGGGCATTCCGGGATTCTGTGACACCACAGGGAACGCGGCGGTGAGCACCATGGAGACCACGCTGGTGGCCACCACGGAGAGCAGCCCCGCGCCCGCCCCGCGCTCACCTTTCCGGTAACACGCCGGGCCCGGATCGGCTCCCGCCGACTCAGGGCCGACCACGAAGAGCCCGGACCTGCGGCGGGGACGGGACGGTGGCGGCGGCCGCGGTGCCACCAGCGCCGGGCGGCACTGCGGGGACGCCCACCTGAAGAAGAGCATGGAGCCGCCGCCGGCCGCCACCGTGTTGATGTCCAGCTGGGGCGCCTGGATGCTGACGCCGGCCGTGGTGGCCTCGAAGACGTGCTCGTAGGCGCCCGCGTAGCGGCTCACGTCCGTGGAGGTGCCTGGGGGCAACGTGGACCACGCCACGGTTGAGGTGGGAAGGACCTCTGGGATCATCCAGACCAACCTTGGTGCTCCAGCAGGGACACCCAGGGACATCCCGGTGGGTGGGAAGGACCTCTGGGATCATCTAGACCAACCTTCCTGCTCCACCAGGGACACCCAGGGACATCCCCATGGGATGGGAGACCTCTGGGATCATCTAGACCAACCTTGGTGCTCCAGCAGGGACACCCAGGGACATCCCGGTGGGTGGGAAGGACCTCCAGGATCATCTAGACCAACCTTCCTTCTCCAGCAGGGACACCCAGGGACATCCCGGTGGGATGGGAGACCTCCGGGATCATCTAGACCAACCTTGGTGCTCCAGCAGGGACACCCAGGGACATCCCGGTGGGATGGGAGACCTCTGGGATCATCTAGACCAACCTTGGTGCTCCAGCAGGGACACCCAGGGACATCCCGGCGCGTTGGGGGCTCTCCAGAGCAGGAGCCTCCCCAGTCTCCCTGGGCAGCCTCAACCAGGGCCCCCCTTGGTGTCCCCATGACCACCTTGGTGTCCTGGGTCACCTTGGTGTCCCCATGGCACCTTGGGGTCCCCATGGCCACCTTGGGATCCCCAGGGCATCTTGGTGTCCCCATGGCCACCCTGGTGTCCCTAGGGCACCTTGGGGTCCCCATGGCTACCGTGGTGTCCCTAGGGCACCCTGCTGTCCCCATGGCCACCCTGCTGTCCCTAGGGCACCTTGGGGTCCCCATGGCCACCCTGGTGTCCCTAGGGCACCTTGGGGTCCCCATGGTCACCCTGCTGTCCCTAGGCCACCCTGCTGTCCCCAGGCCTCAGGTCCCGCTCCATGGAGCTGCTCTCCAGAGGCCACCCCTGATCCGCGCTGGTGCCTGGGGTTGTTCCTCCCGCCACACTGCCCCACGGCACCCCACGGCACCCCATGGCACCCCACACCACCCCATGGCACCCCACAGCACCCCCTGGCACCCCCCTGAACCCCATGGCACCCCACACGGTCCCACGGCACTCCACAGCGCCCCATGGCATTCCACGTCACCCCACAGCACCCCACACTGTCCCACACACCCCACAGCACCCCACAGCACCCCACAGTGCCCCACAGCACCCCACACTGTCCCATGACACCCCACAGTGCCCCCCTGAACCCCACAGCACCCCATGGCACCCCATGGCACCCCACAGCACCCCCCACTGCCCCACACGGTCCCACACACCCCACAGCGCCCCATAGCACCCCACAGCACCCCACACTGTCCCACACGTCCC